GTGTTGACTTAAACTGCCATGGGATTGTAGGCTCCCTCTACAAACCTGGTTTCCTTTTCTTTTACATGAAAAAAAATATAATTTTATCCCATTTTAAAAGAAAGCAGAGATACATTCAGCTCCTGACCTCTTCTTCATCAGAGTAATTTGTGAACAACTTGGTTACTGCAGACTTCTCAGTCATTGTACCAAAATCAGCAGCAGTGATTTGTTAGACTGTCATGAACAAATGATACTTCCGCATGATCCTTGCTCTGACATTAGCTGTCTTAGGAGAAGCTGGGCCTTGAGCTTTTCCAAGTGATTATTAAAAATCCCTTCCAGTGATGGCTCTATCTTTGGCCTTCTCCAAGGATGCAGTTAATTCATTTCAGTGATATGCTATTGCTGGAGCAGTCTCTAGCACTGCTGAAGCTTCAGTGAGATATAACTGCAAGTAGTTTTTTGCTGGAACATTCAGTCCTACCTCATGGAAGATAAATCAGTTGCATGTGTGACATCATGTCTGCAAAATAACTAGATGCAGTGACTTCAGCATGGGATTTAGGTATTCCAGTTTAACACTAAGTTTATTCCATCAAACTGAAAATGCCTGGAAACAGAATCGTGGAATTCAGAAAAGCCTGAAAGTAATGAAATTTCTGAGTTTACCACTTTGGGCAGGTGTATGAGCATTTGAGTAGTAAAGTCTCCTCTGTTATGAAGCCATCCTTTGAAAGTTTCACACAAACCTGCTCTCAGTAATTTTATAGGATCTTTATTCTCTCACTATTGCTAACATTTGATTGTTTAGTGTGAAATAGATCTAGCTTGCTAAATCATGACCAACATCTCATTAGTATCAAGGAGCCTATATTGAGGACAGGGAAAGGAAGTTTCTCCAAAACTTTCTTGTCATGTGTTTGTGGGTTGATTGAACTTTTGCTTTTGTTTTCTTCAAATTATAGTCTACAATTTGGTTTTACATATAACTCAAATCAAAACAGAGAAGCAATATAAGTTAAATCTTTACCACGTGTATTCAGACATGAATCTTTTGGAGTCACTCAGCAGCCCACATATTCTGGATATATCCCTAAGGTATATGTCCAATATAAGTAGCTGCTAATATAATTTGGAACTGCAGAGAATTTAAATAATATGCAACTATAAAACAAATTTTAATGGCTCTATTGTTCCAAGTTTATGTATATAGATCAGTGTCTTGCTGCAGAGAATGTCATGCAAGAGAGATTGCTCACTGTGAGCTTCTTGAAAGGAGCTTCATTAAATTATCTTTTCAGGAAGTTTACCTGCTATGGACCTTGTATTACTGTATCCTTTGTCACTCAACATCAGTGCTGAGGTCATCCAGAATGTGAAAAATAAATATTTCTCCAAGTTACTTCCTTATCTTCTCCAATCAGAGAGTTCTAATAGGTTGCACAGGCTCCCAATATGAGTTATATCAGCTAGCCAGGGAATAAACTGGTACACAGCAGTGCTTTCACAGCTTGGGTTTGAAGAGTGATTGTACTGGCTTGTGACATTGGGCTTGGACCTTCTCTTCTCTTAAGAACATTAATGGTAGATGGAGATCTTGACAGAATGGTTGAGGTTGGAAGAGGGGTCCAACCCCCTGATGAAGCAGAGACTGCTAAAGCCAGTTGCCCAGGCCCATGTCCAGTCTCCAGTGATGGAGACTCTGCAACCTCTCTGGACAACCTGTGCCAGTGCTTAGTGAGCCTCACAGTAAAAAAGTTTCCTGATGTTCAGATGGTGCCTCCTCTGTTTCACTTTGTGTCCATTGCCTCTAAAAAAACTTGTAGTAGTATATCAATGTATGTGGCTTAAAATGTTGTCTCTCTTGTATTCTTAGACATCATGGCAGAAAAAAAAAAAAAAAAAAAAAAAAAGAAAATCAATTAAAATAGGGCAAATACATTTTCATCATGCTTATTCTGCTTTCCTTAAGAAAAGGCAGTTTAGTGGGTTAATGGTAAATGAATTACTGATCTCTAAATGTCAGTCCTTTATCTACCTAAATAATGATTTCTGAAAATACAATTTCAAATTAATCTCTGATATTCTTTTTTTATGCTGCAAATTGTTGTTCTATCTAGTTTAAATAGCAGCTGGGACAATCTGATAAAAATGCACAGAAATATTAGCAGTTTTAATCCAAACATTTATCAGAGCTGTGAAGCCTGCAATTTTATGGTACAGAAAATATGAAAGATGCAATGTCTTCAGAGAACTTGAATGTCGTAAGTTAACAGCTGCAACTTCATATAGCTGTGCATCACTCTGCAATCATAAACTCAGGCTATGAGCGCTCTTCCCAGTCTGAACAATCACGATCAATTTGAATAGAAATGATTCACTCAGGATTTGGGAAGCAAAGCAAGAGGCTAAAATGAATTATTCACAAATTGATCCTGAAGAGGTAAATAACATAAGGTCAGAACTTGTCAAACTGACTATGAATACTGCAGCAAAATCCCCATTAACCTAGGTGTGTGCTTTGGGTGGTGTGTTGGATCCATGTATTAAGAACCAGTGTTGAGATCTTCTCTTCACTACGTAAAGTTGAAAAGACTTGAGGACGTTGCACTGAAAACTCAGTGAAAGTGAGTCACCTCCTGCTATTTTAGGCTTCTTAATACATTGCAATACCTCTGAACCCTTTCCTCCCCTGCTATTCCTGAGTAATCCTCTGTGCTTTTTTGAAACAGATTTGTCTAAGATATCACCTAAATTTATCCATGTGTCTCCAAAATTGCAAATGATAAGCTGGAGTTAAGCCAGCTTACTTTAACAGGAATGTGCGTAGTCGTGCCTGTTAGATCACAGTTTCTGTGATTTTTTATGATCAATGCAGAGAGACATTGATTTCAAATGCATATTTCATGCTTAGAGGTAACTTTGGCCTAATTTGTCCCTTTCATTGAAAATACATCTCGGCCTTCAGTTTAGTTTGTAGCCAGGACTATATGAAGCCAGTAGGTATCATCCAAGGGTGTGTGGAATCTGTCTGCTCACCTGAATATCATGAAAATGTTAAATTGGATAAAAATCTCCTCACTGAAGACTATTAGGTGAGTTAAATGTCTCAGCCTTTATATCTGGACGTGGTCAGGATAAATGGCTCTCATATAGGAAAACTGTGAGTAGCTACTGCAGAAAATTTCACATATGCTCTACCGTGTTGTGCTGGCACAGCTCTGAAGCAGCATGAAGAAAGGGCACATTGCTCACAGTGCTAGCACATATGATTAAAGATACAGCAAGACGAGTAACAATCTCTCACAAGAGATTTAAAAATCACTTATTTAGAAAACCGATGCTTCCAAATCACTGAGCAAGATAAACAGCCCACAGGGAAAACTTGATCTTATTATAATCTGAACTACCAGCTACTCTGATACTGTAGCTCAGAATATTCAGATGTTCTGGATACCTTCCAAAATCTGTGTCTCCATCAGTCTTTAGATGATGGTTTTAAAGTGGTTGAGGTTGGTTTTCTTTCTTTCTTTCTTTCTTTCTTTCTTTCTTTCTTTCTTTCTTTCTTTCTTTCTTTCTTTCTTTCTTTCTTTCTTTCTTTCTTTCTTTCTTTCTTTCTTTCTTTCTTTCTTTCTTTCTTTCTTTCTTTCTTTCTTTCTTTCTTTCTTTCTTTCTTTCTTTCTTTCTTTCTTTCTTTCTTTCTTTCTTTCTTTCTTTCTTTCTTTCTTTCTTTCTTTCTTTCTTTCTTTCTTTCTTTCTTTCTTTCTTTCTTTCTTTCTTTCTTTCTTTCTTTCTTTCTTTCTTTCTTTCTTTCTTTCTTTCTTTCTTTCTTTCTTTCTTTCTTTCTTTCTTTCTTTCTTTCTTTCTTTCTTTCTTTCTTTCTTTCTTTCTTTCTTTCTTTCTTTCTTTCTTTCTTTCTTTCTTTCTTTCTTTCTTTCTTTCTTTCTTTCTTTCTTTCTTTCTTTCTTTCTTTCTTTCTTTCTTTCTTTCTTTCTTTCTTTCTTTCTTTCTTTCTTTCTTTCTTTCTTTCTTTCTTTCTTTCTTTCTTTCTTTCTTTCTTTCTTTCTTTCTTTCTTTCTTTCTTTCTTTCTTTCTTTCTTTCTTTCTTTCTTTCTTTCTTTCTTTCTTTCTTTCTTTCTTTCTTTCTTTCTTTCTTTCTTTCTTTCTTTCTTTCTTTCTTTCTTTCTTTCTTTCTTTCTTTCTTTCTTTCTTTCTTTCTTTCTTTCTTTCTTTCTTTCTTTCTTTCTTTCTTTCTTTCTTTCTTTCTTTCTTTCTTTCTTTCTTTCTTTCTTTCTTTCTTTCTTTCTTTCTTTCTTTCTTTCTTTCTTTCTTTCTTTCTTTCTTTCTGCCTTTCTGCCTTTCTTTCTGCCTTTCTATTTTTTTTTCTTATTTTAAAAGGCATTTTTCCATTGCTTTTTTTCTTGTTTTTATGAATCTTTAAGAGACATACAATGTATAAATCATTAAAATGTTCATTTCCAGAGCTAGTTTCTTGTCACTTACTGAATGGAAGTATGAACTATATATTTATATCAGGAATAACAACACTGTGGTTTGTTGTTTGGAGCAGGTGCATAAGTTACCAGATAAAAACAGGGGTGTCTCAACTGTTTCCCTTGACTTCTGCACCATCACCAGCTTTCAGTGATGAAATCTGTATAACTCTTCTTCTAATCTGGTTTGTCTGTCTGTCATTTTGGTTTTAATGGCAGCTCTACTTTTCTGATATACTTGATTACAGTAATCTTTTAGTCATTCTTTAGCCTCACGGGCTATTGCAACTGAATTAATTACAGCAAAGTACTGCAACAGAACAGCAATAATGCTCTTTGAGGTGTGTATACACCAGATTCCCACATAGAAGAGTTTTTTAATAAACTCAGCTTCACCACATGTATGATTTTTCTCAACTGTCTAGAAACCAAGTTTACATGTGCAGCTCTCTATCACACACTTGCACGTGATTTATCTGGGCTAAGAGATCACACTGATGTACATCAAGCAAAAGTGAAAAGCCGTTGCACATATGGTAATTTTAATCCATTCCATTTTTAAATACCACAATAAATTTAATTTTCACAATAAATTAAATAGCCATATTCAGTTTACAAAATAGAATTACTTAGTGTGAAACCAGTATTTACAAACATTGTACACTATGTACATGATGTTTAGCTTTGTTGACACACAAGCATAGAAGAAAAAATTATTTGTCATTTTTTTGACACATGATTGACATGCTACAAGTGACACTATGGTCCATACAATAAAACAATAGTGCAAACTCACCACAGGAACTCTGAAACAATGTTGTTTGTGTGATATAAGGTATTAATTTCAAATAATAAGAAAATAGTACTATCCACTCTTATTGTAAAAATTCAGCACTATGTTTAAAGTGTCAGTATTCCTTTAGCAATATACATACCAAAAACAGCCTGAAGATTATGCTTTCGCACGGCATCACGGACTTTTGACATGAATTTTTATGGCATAAACTAACGTTCTGCTTAGATCAATAAGTACGTCACATAAACACTTCACTAAGTGAGAGGAACACTGACCCTTTTAACGGTGACTGACTTTATGTCCCTAAATACCTCCTTTTCCCTTTATTATTATATCTTAAAAGATGCAACTATGCTGACAGTAAATTTATGTTAGTTACTACTCTGTAGAAAAAATTGATCCCACTGTATATTTGGTCACACACTGCATATGTACACGTATGCATGAAAAAAGTTACTTTGAAAGCCGTGTCTATGAAAAGTGCATATTTTAGCAGAGACATTTATTGCATGTCTCAGGTGCAACAGAAACTGTTGTATGAAGTTTAATTTAGGGCCAGTTAAATGTCCTCCCAGTGATCTGGTAAAATTTTTGATTAAAAGGATGAAAGAACTTGCGCAATTTGGTAATGACAGAGGTATCCACCTCTGGATGGATGCGTCCCTTGCTACCTGCCAGGCACTTGTTAAAGACAATGTTGAATCGCAAGCAGTAAAACCCTCTGGTGGCATTGAAGTATAAATTGTACTGACTTATCCTCGGAGGAAGATTTAGGAACTTCTCGACCAGCTGGAGTTCTGGCAGTGGTTCTGTGATGAGCCGGTCACCGTCCACGATATGAAACTGCTCGATTGGGAAGTATTTTAACCATCTCTCCAGATGTTTTGTGTAGATGCTGGTTCTCACCGCCTTATATTTAGTGTTCACTTCGCAGGTATTAGGATCAATAGCCAGCTTCTCAAATTTGTAGTAAGTTTTGTTCTTCCTTTCCTTACCTTCCAGCACCTGAGTGTAATCAGAAATAGCTCTTGTGGTAGGTTCCCTGACAATGATCAATAATTTGATAGATGAGTTCATTTTGTAAATCCTTTCAGGTACTTCCTCCGTGATAAAATATGCCGGGCTCTTCTCAATTGTTATTTGATGAGGGTAAGAAAAAGGCATTTTTTTCCGGTACCACTCAATCCCCTTGGCATAATTCTCATCGTTGTCAAAGAAGTGAATCTCTTGGGAAGCTTTGACCACTGCAGGGTGAAGGTTCAGCATCTCCAGCAGTGCTCGGGTGCCTCCTTTCCGCACCCCAATGATAATGGCCTTGGGAAGCTGCTGAACCAGATTGTGCAGTCGTATTTGTTCCTTGGTGGCATTGCCCTTTCGGAACTCGTGAAGCAGCCCTCGCTTGAACTGCAGAGCTCGCAGTGGGATTTCGTCCTGGCCACGGAGTCCAAATCGACTGTCAATGGGGCAGAGGGGTTGCAGTCTGCAAGCAAAATAAGAGGTATTTGTAAAAAGAGGATATCTCTTAAGGCAAGTCTTCTGTGTAAGGCAGTCATGCTCTTGGAAACCTTTTGCAATATGATATAATGCGATTAGCATTTTTCAACTTTTACTTTATTCTGCCAGTGATTAACTTGTTTGCAAATTGTTCGATTATTTAATCTAGTATTTTGCTGTGATTTAGCTGAGTAACTCCTAACTCCACCCTTCTGCTCTTTTAAAGCAGAGGCACTATAATTACTGTTCTTGGGGCTTCTTGAACCTTGCCTCCCCTCCCACATTCCTTATAATTTTGTGATTGCTTTGGCATTCTTTAAAGTATTCTTAGATTAATATTATTTGGTCATTTTGATCTGAAAATCTAATCCATTTAAATCATGTCTTTCTAACACTTTTCCTGTATTAACCTGATTCTTTCCTCTGCTTCCCATTGTGTTGACTATTAACTGCTGATCCAGAATTGGCCTTGCTAGTGAAGAGGAGCAAAAGGGATGAAAAACAGCTTTCTAAGCATCAATTTTCAATATTTTTCCTCCTCTTTAGAAGATGCCCAATGATTTTTCCCTGCAAATCAGAATCTGAAAGACCAAGGTTCTGAATCAGACATGATTAGCAAGGCACAGAATGGCAAGAAAAGTTTGTGGAAATGCATTTGTTGTATCATGACATCAATGATTTTCATATCATCACTTGTGTATCCTGCCACTGAACCTCATTTCGTACCTTACTGTTTCTTCTTTTGCCCCTGTCTTTTTGTGCTATTATTTTATATTCCCCTGTAATTACTTCATCTATCTTCCACTTTTCTAATGCTTCCTTCTTGTATTTGATGTCACTGAATGCAAGAAATGATTCAGTAAGAAAATTTTAAAATTTTGCTACTACAGAACCTTGAATAAGCCCTCACCTCCACTTCCAAATCAGCACTTTGGTCATTATATAGGCCAGTGTTGCACTGGAGATGAAATTGGTGTGTAGAGAGAGCTTCCAAAGTCCTACAGAAAAATATTATTAATAACTTTGTGGACCCATGATCTCCAAAATTAAGACTATGTAAGAACAAAGGTTGCCTTGGCAATTTTAATACACGCTCACTGTGCATATATATTATGATACAGCTTTTATATTACATGGCCACATGCTATTATTTTTCACAGGACCCCTGCCTCAGCCAGTATACCAGATGGGCAGTGCTCATTAATAGCTGTATAGGTATTCAGTGTTTATTCTGGTTGCTCAGTATGTGGCCCCTCACTCATTTCCTGTATATTATTCAAACCCTTCTTTCAGGACATAATTATTTATTTCTTTATGACTTTTCCATCCATCACTGCTTGTTGAGGTCTCTTATTTGACACTGATGCTAGGACAATGGATAGCTGGGACAAAGTAAGTTTGATCCCCCTGGCTGATGTATTGGCCGTTTCCTTGATTATCCAGATGCTGAGAGATATGGCCTGACCTGATAGAGCAGAAGAAACAACCCAGATGACATTGCTGGGTTCACATGATCTCTAGCTAAGTCCTGCAGACTAATTAGAAGGTGTGATGAGAAATGAATGCCTGTTGTTATTTCTTTTCTCAGGTTTCAAGTCTTTCCCTTTGCTCTCTGCCATCTACTGAATAAGAGCCTGACTTGATGGCACAGACTGTATCATTGAAATGCTGATGCAAACCTGCCAATTAAAACAAAAACCAACCAACCAAAAAAAAAAAAAAAAGCAAAAAACCAAACAAACAAGCAGAAAGCAATATCTTGGCTTAACGGTGGTACAATTTGGTCAGACCATGGTGTGACTGGTAAAACAGTCTTTCTGCAGCAGCGAGGTGGCAGTTAAAAACATAAGAAACAGAAGCTGCAACTACTATCTCTGTTCTTCTCTTCCCTCTCCTTCTGTGTATTTGTTATTTGTTTTCAAGCAAAGAGGATTCCACAACAGCAGTTCCAGACCCATATCAACTAATTTTATCTCTTTTGCTCAAAAAGACAGTTAGCACTGCCTTCAGTGTAACACAACAGCTTGTCAAACAGGGTTGTTTCCTTTAAAAGTAAATAAATACTCAAGACATCCTCTAGCCTAAGGGAAAAGATTGGATATTGTTAAAAGTCCTTCCTCAACACTTTACATTTCAGCTTTTTTAC